AGAGAAATTGAAGTGATTATCTGAGAGGTCAAGCCTCTGCAGATGAACAAGGCGGAAGAGAGTGTTGCTGGAATTGATAGAACCGTAGAGACAGCTGCTGCTGAGGTTAAGGCCAACAACATGGCCAGAGTCCTCATCACACTCTACACCATCCCATGAACAACAATTACTCCGATTCCCATCTCCTTCTCGCGTCCAAAATGAAACCTTCGGATAAGAACGAGGATCTGCATAAACAGACTTGTTAATTGCAAAGCTTTCCTTGAACTGCAGCAAGGATGAGCACTCATCAACCTGGCCAAGTGTCCGAGTCTGCACAAATGAAAAACAGCGAGTATCAATGAGCGACAGAAAAAGAAAACAACGTAGAGAAATGAACTTGGACCGCCACGATTCCATTCCCATTGCAATTTTGTTTTGTAATTATGAATGCTTAATTATGGCTCTCACACGATTAAGGGTGGAGAAATTATAAACTCCTTTTATAGACGCACAACTCGTGAAAAACGTAGTCGAGAAAAAAGCATAAGGGAATCAAAGAGAAGAAGCCAAGAAGGTGAAGAGAAGTTTATGGTCTTCAAAGTCTTCGAAAGCTAACCATTCAAAGTCTTTAAAGTCTTCCAAAGCTGGTTCTAACTTGTAGCAGAAAAGTATGTCTTGTTAATTTCTTCGGCGCTTTCAACAACTAAATCAACTGGCCGTCATGTCTGATCTTCTCTCTCTTTCTTGAAGCGGGGCGGGGGAGGTTTAAATTGGTGAGTAGGTTCATGCACTTGAGAAGGCTGTGACTAATTGAGTTCTGTTCTTTTGGAAATGAGGAGGGCCTGACGTCATCTTCTTACAGCAGCAAAATGTTGTTTGTCGGTTTGCTTGGGCACATTTCTTTGTCCGCATTTGTCGACAATTCTCGGCCGTTCATCTTTTTCGCTTATTTTGGTAACTAGTATTAAAATGGAAGGTCTTTGTTTAAATAAAAAAACCCCATGATATTATTAACTTATTATTTGCGTCATAAATTATAACGAAGTGCCACATCATCACCAATCCAGCGTACTTTTTACTCACCTGGATTTTGTTTGCCCAATTATTTTCCTAATTCACATTTTTATTATTCGCCATGTTTACGGAGATGTTACTTTCATGTCGTCTGCGAGACGTTCATCAGTCTCTACTTAATATGCATGTACCTCACTGGCTTGAAGTCAAATTATTATAATTAAAAGGTCTAATTATGGAGGTGAGGGCAAGAGGATACCTCGTGTAATACTTGCTTGTGAGAGGAACGGTAACTATAAGTCTTGCAAGTCTAGTGCGACAACTGATATAAGGTCAGATGCAAATAGTGATATGAAAAAATGTGTTAGGGACACTGGCACCAAGAAATGTGGATGCCCATTCTTGTTAAAATGTGTCAATATTGGTGATGGGAATGATTGGAAGTTGGAGGTGGTTTGTGGAGTATCTTCTCTTTTGAAAATTTATCATATTCATTTCAAATCTTTTCTTTTTCTTTCAATACTCATATACGGATTTCATGAAAGGTTGGATGATGATGAGATATTAGTCGATGTGATGAACTAAATATTTGTACGAATTTCATATTTAGAGTTAAATTGCATTTATTATTATTTTTTTAAATTATTTTTTTTTAAACAAACAAGTTATATATCTGGCAATTTAATTTTCAAATATTCAATTATTTTCCTAGAGTTTGGTGACCAAAATAATTGAATTTAAAAATTGTTTTTATGGCTAATGAGGTATAGTCCAGTGAAAAATGACATTGACTTGCAAGCTAGTGGTTCTTCTTCTTCTACGATGCGTCAACCTCTTGCATCTTACGACTCATCCAACACACAAAGAGCCGAAAATAGAGAAGTTCCTTCCAACTCCAAAGTGTTTTTCGCTTTATTTTTCCTTTCCAGTTGAAAACATGAAATGATTGAATAATTTGTTGTAGTGCCAATCTATGAAAACAGAACAAGTTGCCAAAGAGTAGGGCACATGATTGCACCCTTATGGAAGAAATTCGCAAGTAGCCAAATGTAACGACTTAGACTTGTAAGAAAGGAAGAATGGACAAATGGATTTAACAAAAGGAACTTACATGGAAGTGGGGGTTTTGGCTCGGTGCAATTTACAGGGCACTTTCAAGAGCTTTCATATGGAATGTGTGTTTTCGGTGTCAAATCCATTTGTCTGTTTGTTTTCATTGCAATGACTTAGACTTAGAGTAGGGCACATGACTTATACTTGTAAGAGTAGGGCACATGATTGCACCCTTGTGGAAGAAATTCGCAAGTAGCCAAATGCAACAACTTAGACTTGTAAGAAAGGAAGAATGGACAAATGGATTTAACAAAAGCAACTTACATGGAAGTGGGGGTTTTGGCTCGGTGCAACTTACAGGGCACTTTCAAGAGCTTTCATATGGAATGCGTGTTTTCGGTGTCAAATCCATTTGTTTGTTTGTTTTCATTGCAATGACTTAGACTTAGAGTAGGGCACATGACTTGTACTTGTAAGAGTAGGGCACATGATTGCACCCTTGTGGAAGAAATTCGCAAGTAGCAACGACTTAGACTTGTAAGAAAGGAAAAATGGACAATGCGACTTGTAAGAAAGGAAGAATGGACAATTGGGCATCTGTTTTCACAAATGTACAAGAACTTGCTATACTGTACATATATGTCTCTATACGTCTCTATGTATTATGTACAAGAACTTGCTATTAGATATGGATGGTCAATCCAGTCTCCTTCGCATAATAAGTGCCCTTCACTCTGATTTTTTTTTCTTCATTTTTTTAATAGGAATATCTAATTATTCAGGTACACCGGGACTTAAATTCATTGCATCAGGCTATGGTGAGTTCATAATCCATTGCTTGAAAGGTTCTTCTTCTCTCTCTTTCTTGAAGTGGGGGAGGTTTAAATTAGTGAGTAGGTTCATGCACTTGAGAAGGCTGTGACTAATTGAGTTCTGTTCTTTTGGAAATGAGGAGGGCCTGACATCATCTTCTTAACCAAACAATAACACATTCAAAATCAAAGTAACCAAACAATAATATAGATGGTGGAAATCAGATAAAAAGTTGAAACTTACACTCATTTTTGTATTCTAAGATTTGTCAATTTCCTTTGGTTCGAAACAAAAAATTAAATTAGAAGAAGGAGGATGAGGAACTTATAGAAGCTGGAGAGTGGAGCAGCAGATCTGCGAGAGAGAGAGAAAGAGAGAGTCATGACAGAGAACACAGACCAAGCCAAGAGAAATCGATTAGAACAATCTCTTCAGATTCCTTAGCAGACCTCTCCAAATCCGTATCTTCAATTCGCAAAACAAATTTCCCTCCATTGGACCTGAGCCAACACAGATAGTCATACTCATATTCCTTTGAAAACATAGATATCTTGTGAGATTCGTCACTCGTTGCTCATCAAATCTCTGTATGAAGTAGTCGCCTTGAGGTTCGCAAGATGGGAGAGAAAGTTCGAGATCAGAGACGAGTGAGAGCCAGTCGTAGGGGACAATCATGACTCAGAGGTCGAGAGCAGAGAGAGCCGAACTTTGTGTGATTTTTGGGATTTTTTCTTTTTGAGAGTTCGAGAGCAGAGAGAAGAACTTTGGGGGGTTTTTTTTTTTTTTTTTTTTGAGAGAGAGAGAGAGAGAGAGAGAGAGAGAGAGATGAAGGAGATCAACTCATTTACGGGGCACATGGTGCAGGAAGAGGTCGTTAGATCTCTTAAAGAATTGAACCTTGATGCCTTAGCATTTTCATCTTCCTGTTAAAGTTTTAATTTCTTAAAGAAAAATGAAATTAGTTTTAATTTCTTCATCTTCATGTTGAAGTTTTTCTATGATAATTATAATTTGAATCAAAGAGCATGAAACATAGTTTGCTTAAAGAATTGAACCTTGATGCCTTAGCATTTTCATTATTAGTATTTCGTTTTTTTTAACTCAATCTCTATAAAATTATTTTTCCATTTTGTTTGTCACTTTTATTTTAGTACGTTTAATTATTTCTTTGTGTTTAGACATTTGCCTATTTGCTCCTTGAGAATTTGATACTTGAACTTCCAAGATTATTGCTACGTAAGACTAATTGCACTTGTGTAGACGCAACAATGCCTTCGTCTTCTTGCTCATTTTAGTAATTGGGTTGTTTCACTATTTTATGCGGAAGCTACTCTGGCTAATAAAGCAGCGCAATGTTGCCAACACGTCACATGGGGTTGGGTTAAAGGCAACAAAAAATGGGTTTTGATTGATGTTATGCTGTGCAGGTTTGCTTGATATGCGTAATACAAGTCATGCTATTTGGTAAATATCTGCTAATTAAAATGATAAAAAATAAAATAAAAAACACCCTTATAAACTTGTCTTACATGCATCCTCTTTTTATATATATTTTTATAGAATCTATAATTTCTCCAAATGTTGGTACAGGAGCTCCAAAAACCCAGGAAACAGCTTCTGAACACCACGGTCCACATCTACGACATTAACAGAGAAAGCCTTTAACTGGTGATAATGATTATTCAAATTCCTCAAGAAACTAAGAAGGTCTACCACTTCCCCAGAGTAGTTCCCATAATGACTGTCATAAGATTTTTTTATAAAATTATCCATGGAACCAAGGACTTCAGTAGAGTTCCAGGATTTGAACCTATCAAAATCGGATAATTGCAAAGCTTTTTTCACTGCAGTATGTGTAGCAACCTTTTCCCACTTACGACGATAACGAGCAAACATACCCATCCTTTCTTCAGAGCTTAACAAGAACGGATGAGATGCCAATCTCTCGACACAATCAGGATAGCTGAAAAGACCAAAAGGACATCCTATAAGGAATGAAGTAGAAAGAAGGAAATAAAAAAGATATAGTAGAGAACTCACTCCAAACACACAGCCTGGTCGAAGAACTTGAAGAAGCTACTACATTCCTCCCATGAATATTCGGACCCCAAAAATCTCTCGAACAAGACATCTAACATCATCCTAAGTTGCATTAAATCTTTTTTCTTATTTTCGACTTGATCACTGGGACTCAAGTCAGGCAAATATCCCTCAATGTTTATTACTTTCAGCTTGTCATGAAAAAACACAAAACTGGACTGCTTATGCAAACCACCATGGAATAAGCCCTTAGCATGAATGCTACGCACACCACGAATCAGATCCCTGCATAAATACAAAATAATTATGCCAAAAATAATTAAAACGAAAAACTAAAACAGTAACCTTTTATAGATTTATTTATTTATTTACCAAAGTAACCTTATAGAATTAAAACTAACAAATTACCCAATGGATGTACGCCAAAAGTCTTGAAGACGGTCATCAGGAGTCCGGAGAGGTAATTTAAGCTGATCATCATAAGGAACAATTTCTTTCGACTGAACCTTGTAGGCCCAATCTTTGAGAGGTTCAAAACGATCATAACAAACACACGATACACCCTTCCTTATCTCTATGTGATCAGGCAGTTTGGAAAAATACTTCTGCTTGATGAACAAATCCTTATGAGGCCGTAAAACCACATCAGCACCAACTTCACAAGTCCTATGAAAAATTAATTCTGCCCTACTAGTAGCATCTATCCCATCAACTCCGTCAACTTTTACAAATGTCACGGGTATCGGTTTCCCATCACGTTTGAAAGATAAAGATCCCTTATACCATTCTTCTGATTTATTATAATCAAATGACAAACTGTAAGAACAAACCCTCGGTCCAATAACCTTGTGATGTGAATCATTCCTATCATACTCATCTTTTGCAAAATTAAAGAACTCTGTCTGGTCCTCCATTTCGAAAAATTAACAATAAAAGGAATCTGCAAGAAAACCAGTACGGTAATTATAATATAGCTAGCAGTCAAACAATTCCGCTAACAAGATGAGAGGGAAGAAGATGTTTTCTTAAACGAAAACTGGAACTTTAATTTTGCAGAGTTCAAATCACCATTGGGAAAAAGACCTTTTCTTCGGCAACCAAATTTGTAAATATTTATGCAGAAAATCCAACACTACTTTGGCAGAATATTTAACAACATACCTGAATTTGGCAGACGCTCCAATTCAAGGAAATCTAAAATAAAAAATAATTCACAAAAATTCTCATAGGTTAGATTGGAAACCAAGGAAGAAGAGACAACAGAAAAGAGGGAAACAGTAGACCACAGCAACAATAAAAATTGAGAAAGCAACAGAAAACAGTCAATCTGGACAAGCCAACAAAGAGCCCCACAACAGCTTACTGTACCAGACACAAAACAGAGAAAACACTCAGCATGACGCAATTTGTATTTTTTTGTCTAACAGTTATTCCTAGAAAAAATAAACAGTAACCTTATAGAATTTATTTATTTACCAAAGTAACCTTATAGAATTAAAACTAACAAATTACCCAATGGATGTACGCCAAAAGTCTTGAAGACGGTCATCAGGAGTCCGGAGAGGTAATTTAAGCTGATCATCATAAGGAACAATTTCTTTCGACTGAACCTTGTCAGCCCAATCTTTGAGAGGTTCAAAACGATCATAACAAACACACGATACAGCCTTCCATATCTCTATGTGATCAGGCAGTTTGGGAAAATACTTCTGCTTACTGTAACAGACATAAAACAGATAAAACACTCGGCATGTAAATTATATAGGCTTTGAACTAAATCACTTACTGAACTGGCCCTAAAACAACAATATCATAAAATAAGTAACAAACTCAATGATTATAAAACGGGTAACAAAAAACATTGTATGAAGAAATAAGCAATGGCGGACCCAAGAATTTTTATAGGGCTAGGCTAAATAATAATTTTTTTTTAGAGAAGATATATTATAAGCTTTTTTCTATTTTTTATCATGAAACAAAAATGTAAATAAAATTTTATAAATCAAACGAAGTCACAAAAATGCTAATTAATAATTCAAGTTGCAAAAATAAAACATATATTAACAATCTCCAAAAAAATTCACCCAAACCCTAAATCATAAAAACTTAACAACAACAATTAAATTGAAAATTATATATATATATTTATATATAATACTTACCAAAATTGAAGAATCCACTAAAGATAGATTGGTACAATTTTTTAGAGGAGGAGAGCTATTTCCTCTAGGCTCTCAAGGTTCAAATATGGCGTTTTGGGTGGTTAGAAGAATTTTTTTGATGTTTGCTGTCCGTGGGTGTAGCCTAATATCAGTACTATTAGAATAGGTCAATAGGTCAAGTTGGTAAAGCCTTAGCGTGAGTTTTACTTCTAATCAAATTTATATAAGTTTGGATTGATATTATTATTTCCTATATGCTTTAGGAATAGGCTTATTTAAAATAAAGTTATTATTTACTTTACTTAAATTAGGCTATTATTAGTTTATTATATTTATTTGTGCAGTGGGCTAATATTTATTGGAGTAGGAATAAACTTAACTATATTTAATATTTAAAAATCATCCCCTAGGCTGGATCCGCCCTTGGAAATAAGTAACACTGACAAATTCTGATACTAAAGCTGTAGAAAATTTTAAAAAGAGAAACTAAAAAGAATAAAGAAATCAATACTTAGCCAAAATGTTGTGCACTGAATTACATAAATACAATTAAAAACCGAAATACTCATATTTATTAGACCTTGAAACGGGTAACAAACTTTTATGTCGGTATAAGATAACTAGTTAATATATACATACATACATATATATATATATATATATATATATTGAAAGGAAAAAAGAATACCAGCCTCAAGAATTTTACACGAGTTAGAAACTTTCCTCATATCACACCCCAAAGCAACCATAATAAAACTCCCCTCTACAGCGGCATCCCCAAACCCTAAATTCCCTTGTGCCTCAATTTAGTATTTCAATAGCGAACGCCTTATCATCTGTTATCATGGGGTACCGGAAAATATCTCAGCTTTGCGCTGCCGCCGCTGACCTCACCTCGGGTCAAGACCATGCCTTAACGATGGCTTCACACGAAGATGAGCTCCTGGGCAAGATATCAGAGATCGAGAAATCCCTAGCCGCACTTTCCACCCAGAAAACCCAACTGGTTGATTTGAAGAAATCAATATCGGATGAGCTCGACCTACTACGCGCCAGTAGGGCTCACAGTCACAAACATGGGGCTGTTCATCCTTACCCAAGGTCAGTGCATGGCCTAGTGGATTTCATCTTTTCTTCTTAATTTCTGTTTCTCTGTAAAATTGTTGTTTTTCTTGATTGGCCTTTATGTTTTAAAAATTCACTTGGCTTGTTCTATATTTATCTATTCTCTGTCCAGATTGCCCATGAAGGAGGAGGCATCAATGACGGTAAATCAGGGGGAACATAGGTCTGTGTTTTTAATGATAACTTTCACTAAGGGAAACATAGGTGCCCTATATGAAGTCAAATTCAAATACGGGGCAAAAGTTGATGATATAGACGGAAGAGCCGTGCTTGAACCTGTAGTCACGTTCCCTTGTTTTAACGAGTGTGCAAGGATTTTCAGCCGCTCCCAAGTATATGTATTTACAGAGGATGCTTGCGTTAGGTCATTCGATACGAAAACTAGGGAATTAGATCCCTCTGTACCTCCTACCTTAGAGTTGAAGCCGAGTGGAACATTCGTGTCCGCATATGACAGACTCTATTTTCTTGAAGAAGCATCGCCCTTTGTAGCAGATCCGCTTCCATCTTTTGCGAAATACAATCCTGATGAGAACGATTGGGAGCGAATGCCTGAGTTTCCAATTCGTTATCCTTATCCTATGCGGGTAACTGGTTATGCCGTTTGTTATGGACTTATTTTGTATACACTAATTGACGGACATGAAAACTCTGATGTTGTTGCTTTTCACGTGGGTGGAATGAATTGGATTCGAGTGGAAGTTGACACTTGTGATTATACTCCTTTCCGAGGGAGGGCTGTGGTTGTAGACAAGACTATATATGCCTTGGATCTATTTCAAGTGGATGAGATTATAGCATTCTCCTTGAAGATGAACAAACGCGTTGACGGTAGTATTGCATACACACTAATCAAGCTGTGTAAATTGGACGGCTTGAAGATTGTGTCTCCACCATGTCCATTTGATGAGCTTGAGAGTGACTATTTCGTTCATTTGGGGAACCTAGACTTTTTTCATGTTAAGACTGGCACTAATTATGAATTTTACAAGGTTCAACATATTTGTATCACCACTTTTCAAATATTTGTTCGAGAAGACGGAATACATATGATCAAGACATTACATTCAACTGTTCTTCCTATGGATATCGAGGCTTGTGGCCAGTTCACGCTCACGTTCGGCTTCACTCCGTAAGTTCTCTTCACATTTATTGTGTTTTCATCAATGACATTAATTTGTACGTTGGATTCTATTATAGTTTGTATGTATCAAAACCCTTATGTAGTGTGTGGTGATTATGACTCGCAGAGAGCGCGAGGATTATGAACCCATAAAAGGGGAGTGTAGCTAGCATGAACAGCCCAAATAAGAAGATGAAACCACTATCGAAGAGAATTATTTGATGTGTGTGGGAGGTGAAAGAAATGTGTTTACATGAAATCTTTTTGTTTATTTAATGACTGTGATTGAAAGAAACGATGTTATTGATTGAAAGATATGGGTTTTGCAGATAGAAGCCAAGGAGGAAATAAGCCCAGCATGGGACAGCCAACCAGAAAAAAACCCCCGCAAACGGAAAAAAAAAATAAATAAAAAAGAAAAGAAAAAAAGAAAGAAGAAGAAGCGGATTGAAGGAGGAACATGTAGTAGAAAATGACATGTAATGTAAATACTTGAGGAGCAGGGAATCTATGTTGGATTAGATATTATTGTGGCATTTTACTGCCATCTAGGCCTTTGGTGTTATAGGGGAAAAACGATGTTATTGATTGTGATATTTAGCTGATAGCTGATATGATACATTTGATTTGATCTCTTCAATTAATTTTTCTTTTAAAATTAAGCATTCACAAAGTGAGTGCAAAATTAGACATGGTATGTGATGCGTAGGAATTTGATGTGTGTGTGTTGACTGTTGCGTTGCATAGAAGAATGCACAGGTTTAAATTTTGCTGTAAAAGGACCTGTTTATATTTTCAAATTGGAAAAACAAGATGTCATGTTGCCCAGATGCTAAACCCAACCATTACTTAATAACAATTATTTGACCAAAAGACGGAAAAAAGAAGAAGATTCACTAGTCAAAAACAAGGAAAGTCATGTGGCGAGTCACGTGTCCGGTTTCAAAGGCAAGCGCGCTCGCCACACGGCCTCCTCTACCTCGTCTTCTCCCACCATACTCTCTGTCTTCCTTCCCTCCTAAATGCCAATAGTTCAGTTAACTTACCTGTTTAGTCAATTACATTTTTCTGTGTTAATATAAACCACCAAATTTCCACGAAATCCTTTCTTACATTTCCATCTGCAAGTAGGTATATCAGTAAATTTTACATTTCCTCAATCTAATTATGCATTTCCCCGGGGTATTTTCTTCTTCTCTTCGAAACAGTTGCAAAATGAAAATTTAGAGATGGGGTTTCTGAAGGAATGGTTAAAGATACAAGGTACATACATTATGTTGTCGAATCAGTATATGTTTTGTCCCTATCGAAATCTACTTAACTTTGGGGAATGTTGGATGTGCTGCCTACTATAGTTATTTGCTTCGGCCGATCCTGAATTAGAAAATATATGTAACTAGTGACGGGATACTTTTTCGACTAGAATTTACTGACAAATTTGATGGTATCTATGTGAAGGAAAGAATACCTATGATTCGATTCAAATAAGTGCAAATCTTGAAAGAAAGTGTTCACTTAGGGCCTAACAAAGAATTTGATTCCCTGTTGATATACAGCTGATTTATTGGGGATAAATCTCTTTCAGATGTGATAATACCGTTCTACTTTTTTGTTCAAAATATGAAACAAAAAAAGAGGACTAGCATACTGCTTTCGGATAAATCTCTTCCTATTTGGAACTTCATACTGCTTTATGAATATTGCACTAATAATATTAATATGTTCATGCTTTTTAAGAGGTTTTAGAGGTTGCTGCAACAGTATTTCTTTCGGCCATTATCAACTTGTGCGAATTTCTTTAGAATTATGAATGTCAGTATATATATATATATATAAACAAAACAAAAAGAACAGGACTTGCCTAGCACCTAGACGCCCACCTAGCGATTAGGCGCCACTTGTCAAAAAAATGTATAGCCGCGTGGATGTACTTTTTTTTTAAGATCATAGCATAGTCCATTATTTAAAAGGTATAGCCATGCGGCTATACTATATTAATAGAAATTTTTTTAAAAAGGGCCTTCCTAATTTTTATACTTTATAGATATTAATTTGTTGGTTTCAACACATCTAAAGTAGATATTCAAGCGGGAGAAATTTCACAGTAAATCAAAGGGATGTATTATTGAAAAATAAGTACGTACATGTATGATACAAGTATTAAATGTGAAAAAGCCAAATTCTTTATACGGGTAATAACTCTGGAAAAGTAAAAAATCAAAAGGGAGTAATAAAGACTCAGGTAATTGCCTAATAGTAATGGATAATGCTCTAAACTACTCTTATCGATAAACGAAAATCGGGAGTCAATAAAATATATTTTGTGCACTCAGCTAGACCCTTCGTCTCTTTCTCGTCTCAATCCCTCCCTTCCCATTTCTCTTTCAAGCACGGCATGATAGGACTCCTCCCCCTCCTCTCTCTTCCTTTCTCAATCTCTTTCGCTTTTAGCTTGCTACTCTCTTTGTGGGGAAATCTTGACTGGATTGTGGAGAAAGTGGAGTTTAGGGGGTGGGGACTTTAGATATGTATCCAGATCTACTTGGATCTTGGATTTTCTGGCCCGATCTATTTGGATTTTGGGTTTGGTGGGTTTTTTTTTGGTGTTCTTGTTATAGGTACTTGGTTTGGCTGTGATTCCGACTGTGGTGGGGTAGTGCTGGCATCGACGGCACTGACGACGACGACTTTATGGGTATTCTTTTCAAGTCATGCTTTCTTTACAACCATAGTCATGGACTGGGGTTGGCTGTTGCTGGTTTTCAGTTTATGTTTTGGTGCAATAAGTGCATCAACTGTGTTGAGTTTGATGCGTGGTTGTGGTTTATCTTTGGGAGAATTTGGGTTTGTAAGTTGCGTTATTGGTGATGAACTTGGTTATTACAAATTTGAAGTGATTAAGCCCGATTGTCTGTGGTCTTGTGTGGCATTAAGTTGGCCATGCATGGCTTCAAGTGGAAGTGTACCATATAAGTTTGTTGTTGTGATCCCTCCGTGTTTGGTGCAACCCTTCGGGGGCATTTGTTCTAGCCCTTGAGCCTTTTGTATTTGTAATGCGCTTATGACGTAATTTATAAATGCAATCTCCATAGCATTTGGCCAAAAAAAAAAAAGATAAAGGAAAATCGGTGTTTTTTTTTTAAAAGGATCCCATTATATATATAGTATAGATGCTCGACTATACTATTTATTAAAAACAAGTTTTTTTTTTTCAAAAAGCCCTAGTAAAGCCGCCTGGCTATACAATTTTAATTAATTAATTAATTTTTTTAAAAAGGGGACCTGCATAGCGCCTAAGCGCCCACGTGTCTAAAAAGATACCACTGCGCGGCTGTACTATTTTTTATTATAAAAAGACCGTAGTATATACGCACGATTGTACTCTTAAAATATAGGCTTATTTATTGTAGTGCTCCCTGAAACAATAGTCAAATCTCACTTTACCCCCTAAAGGTTAAAGTGACCCAAAGTACCCTCTTGACTAAGGTTTGGCGGTTCACTTTGGCCCTATTTTTAACTTTGTTAAAAATTCAGTTAAAAACATTGATGTGGCACAAATAGGACCTATTCTTTTGTTGAAATATATGATATGTCAGTGCCACATGTGAAAAAAATAATAAAATATTTTATACTAAAAAAAATAGAAAAATACATTACTTCTCTCTCCCCTTCTCTCTTTCTCTGTACCTGACTCTCTCCCCCACCAACCTACTTGGGGCAGCCATCCTTGCCCCACCCCCTCCCTACCAGCTCTTCCCCTTCATCTTCTCCACCCCAAAATCCTCAAAACCACTCATTCCCTAACCAAACCCACCTCAAAAATCTCAACTTCCTGTTGAGATTTTCTTGCCTACCAAATAGAACCCAAAAACTCCAATAATTTTCTAAACCCTAAAACAAAAATAAAATTTAATTTATAAACAAAGGGAGTGCCCCAACCATCTTGGTTTTGATTTCTTGAATGGTTTTGGGTATTATCCCTCTTGATTTGTTCTTGTACTCCATCCACAGTGCAAGTTGGTGTGCTCCAGCGTCGTTTGCAAGGAGTGATTTTGAGGGTTTTGGGGTGGCTAAGCAAATTATAGCGAGGGGAGGAGTTGGTGAGGCAGTGATGGCTACCCCAAGTGAGTTGGTGGGGGAGGTGGTCGGGACCTTCATAATTGCATTTATACTTTATAGATATTCATTTGCTAGTTTCAACATATCTAAAGCAAATATTGTTAAGAGACAAATTCCACAGTAAATCAATCTGAGAGTTCAATTTTTTCTTCTTCTTTTTTTGTGGGAATATTTACCTTTGATCTGCTTTGTTCTCTTGAGTGCTACTAAATTCTGTTATTGCATACATTATTGTCCTAGAGAACTGCATTTTGAGTTGGAGTGTTCTTGATAATTACTTCACTTTTCAAACAACACTTTACATGAAAAATACTACCACTCTTTTACTACTATAACCATAAATCTTTGTTTGAAATTCTTGTTTTGGTTGGCAAAGAGATTGCAAAATCACCATCTTGTATTTTTGTTACAACAAGTAAGAAGTAATCTTAGCCTCTCATATTCTTTCATAGTTAGTAAAATATGGAACAGAAAAAGTACGAATGAAATACATATGTGCTTTATTCGGCAAAATTTTGGCAAATTACAACTGAAAAATTCAGCCGCTATATAATATATTAAATTTTTTAATATATATTATTTTTATTCAATAATATATGAAAAATATGTGCATAATAAGATGTGAATTTTACTGAGTCTTTAAGACGTGTATAGAAAAATGGATGTACTATTGGAAAATACGTACGCACGTGTATAATACTAGTATTAAACGTGAAAATGCTGAATTTTTGCCGCGTGGCTATACAATTTTTAAAATAAATATATATAAAAAAATTCGAGTATAGTTGTGTGGCTCTACTATTTATTAAAAGAAAATTAAAGGAAGGACCTTCCTAGTTTCTATACTTTGTAGATAATAATTTGTGAGAATGTTTTCCTTTGATCTACCACGTTCTCTCGAGTGTTACTAAATTCGGTTATTGCACATTCGTACAGAATTGCATGCTGAGTTGGAGTGGTCTTGGTAATTGTTGCTTCAATTTTCAAACAACAGTTTATATAAAGAATAACCTCTCTTACTACTATGCCCATAAATCTTTGTTTGAAAACAACACCCACACCTTTAGGCAGAAAGCAACATCAAAGACATTGAATCCTTTTACTGTAATACGTTAACGGTCATGAGTTGGATAGGACAAAGGTAAATTTCTTTTGAGAAACTAATTCATCTATCAATAACTTAAGGTTATAATTTTTGGCTTATGAAACTTATTATTTTTATTTTATTTTAATTACTCAAGTTTTTAATTGCCATTCCAACTTGGTAGTGAAAAAAATGCAGTAGATGCTAAATCACTTTATTGTTAAGTCACTTAAGTGGGTTTTGACTTTCGAGACCAAAAAAAAAAAAAGAGGTTAAGTGGGCCGAGCTTGGGCTGTGCTTGAAGCGGGCTTTGGCAAGCCCGTCCCATGTGGGGCCATGGGCCGGCTTGGTCCATTGGACTGTTAGAAATATGTCCTTAAAACCAACTCATTTTGTAATAATTAGAGTTAATGACATCTTT